AGTATGGTGGATGTACGGCATTTGGGTATGTCTCTTGTTATTCTAAGGACGGTAATTATAGGGCGTAATGAATGATCATGAATATTGTGAATTTGTTTGCGGTCGAATAATTTTGACATATGTTTTCCGTAAACGATTATTAATCAAGGTGGGTATTTGTTGGAAAGGTTTATCTACGCTCTAAGACCACTCCGTCTCTTTTGAGCATCTGCTAGACTTTAGCTAGAGGTATATTGTCTAAGTATCATCCAACTAGTGGACTAATGCAAATCCTGCGTTTTAATTGGCTACGCTACTAGACGACTATTAGAATTAGTCCTCGAGTAGCGAAATTCGCCGGTTTTGAAAACCTACCAAAACAATGGCGGCCGCTTCGCGTTCTGTGGAAATTTCAAAGGAGTTTTTAGCTAATCTACTGGATAATTCCATCCCAGAAAAGGCCAAAAGGGCAACAAAGAACGGGATGAAAAAAACGTGACAGTTATGTGGATTTACGCAAATTTGGTGCAATCGAGCGTGACGCTTTCTTTCGTTTTATTCCCAAATAAAGATTTCTTCAACTTGCATTGTTGTTAGATAAAATACGAGATTTTAAGAAGGCCACCTTGGATTAAGGAAATTTGCGTTTGAAATGTTTTCGCTAACTTGTCAATTGATTTGCATAAGCGCTCGCGAATTTCAGCTGATGATACTACCTAGAGGAATTCCGAGCTTGAAATTCGACTTTCAGTAGATCACACTAGTGATCACAGGCAAGAGGATCTTTTCAAAGGACTAAGCTATAAATACACGGGTGTACAAGAGTTTTGACCGACCTCACCCCTCTTAGTTTGTGACACATGCGATCACTACCAAATAAGGTAATGAACACGTGCGAGCTGGATAAGACAATTGGAATGTGACAAAAAGTAGCGAGTAGCGAGGGAGGTTTTTAGAGTTTATAGGGAGTTATAAGTCCTTTCAGTGAGTTATTGTGCAGTGAATAAACCAGAAAACAGAGAAGAAGTTGTGAGTTCTGTGTACCGTTGGGAGAACGGCTCACTTTTGGTGACGGGACCAGGATACGCTGTGGAAATTACATCGCAGCGAGAGAGTCAGAAGTGAAGCGATCGTGAATCAAAAGAAACATGAGTGACGGCGTGGAAGCGAGCGAAGACGAGCAACGTCTTATAAAAGAGATCGACAAGGAAATAAACAAACTCAGGTATTTCTTGGAGGAGACTGAAGAAATGGTTGATATCAAAGATTATACTGAAATGGAGCGAGGATTGTCACCACGATCTGTGAGGGTGGTAAAGGGTATTTTCGTGACCCGTGATCGGCCCTTTTTATTTCCTGTGAAATGTGAAATAGCCATTTTTTTCCCTCGTGAATCGTGATTTCCATATTCGCCGTGAACCGTGATTTAACAAAACGTTCTTTTATTTTCCGTGAAGCGTGAAATGCCAATGTTGTATTTTTCGTGAATTGTGAAAGGGCTGCTTTATTTTCCGTGAAACGTGATCTATATCCCCCCTTTACCACCCTCAACTGTGAGACAGTGGAAGAAAGATATCAAGTCGAAGTATGCTGCATTGGTCAACGACAACGAGAGGCTGAAAAAGTGTCTGGGTGATAGAGAAGAGGACTACGCGGCGGAAGGAAGATTTGAAGCGGAACCAACAGATGGAAGACGAGCGGCGATTATACGAATTACGCGAAAGACAACAGCAGCACGAGCGAGAGTGGTGGAAGGAAAATCTCGAAGGAGAAGAAATTAGAAATGAGGAAAACCGCCGTTTCGAGCATCACAAAATTGCCGAAATTGAAGACAACACCGTTCAAAGGAACTGCCGGTGACTGGGTAAGATTAGAAACATGTTTCTAGCCCAAGTTGATGCCAAGTCGATTTCTGTCAAAGAGAAATTCGGGTATCTTCTCGAGTCCGTTGGCCCGAAGGTCAGAGACCGAATAGCAAACCTAAAGTCTGGAACTGTCGGTTACAAAACGGCGTGGGATCGGTTAAAGAAAGAATATGGGCAAAGAAAGGTCGTCGTAAATACACACATGGATGAGATCATTAATTTATTCCCAGTCAAAGGATCGAATTACTTCAGGGTTCAAGAATTTTACGAGAAACTCAGCAGGAACTCTGACGCTCTTCAAACCCTGGAGGAAGGTCAAAAATTACAAGGGTTCGTTATGACTACGCTCAACAAATTGCCTCACGTCAAACCTGATCTGGTAAGAGTGGACGAGAATTGGGAAGATTTGATCGATGCTCTACAGAAGTGGCTTAGGAGAAATCACGTCGAAAACAGCAAATGCGAGAAGCACCTGTTAACGGAGAAGGGAGGTAAACAGACGCCATATTGCCTTTTCTGTCGTAAACAAGATCACTAGAGTGTGAAGTGTACCGTAGTAACAGCACTGGCGGACAGGAAGCAGTTTTTCGTAGATCGCAATTTGTGTTTTACTTGTGGGCGTTCAAGCCACAGAGCAGACCAGTGCCGTAGGCGTGGTTGTTTGAAGTGCACATGCAGGCATCATACAAGCATATGCGATAGACAGGAGAGGGAAAACAGCAGCAGTCCGCACGGAGTATCACTGACAGGATACACCAATTATGCAGAGGAGAAAGTACTACTTACAATTATTTCCGTCAGCATTGAAGGAGAAGTTCTTTGGGCCTACCTGGACACGGGTTCTGGACGCAATTTCATCTCACGAGAAGCAGTCAAGTTGTTAAAGTTAGAGCCCACAGGTCACAAGACGCGCGAAATCTTGACTGTCAACGGAACCAAAGTCCAGTCCATGCCAATCTTTGATGCCCACATCAAATCCCTGGACGGAAAATCTTGTGAAGAAGTTGAATTCACTGGCTCGAAGTTAGCTGATTTTACCACTGTGAGAAGGCCAGACATGAACCAGATGAAATGGAAGTACCAAAGTACGCAGGACAAGAGGTTCTACATGACATCTACAGGAGAGCACCAGATACATCTCATTCTTGGAGACGGCATACAGCAGAATAAGGACGGAGAGAGTGTTCAAAGGGAAGCCAGGAGAACCGCTAGTAGAGGAGACAACCTTCGGTTGGGTAGTTCATGGTGGAGATGAATGTGGGAGTGGCAGCACCTGCATGTACCTGAGAGAGGTCAGTGACTATGAGAAACTGTACAGCTTGGATGTACTGGTAGTGGAGGACCGAGGTGAAAATGATCAGTTGATTGTTCTGCGTGAATTCAAAGAGAGCGTTGTGAGAAGAGAAGACGGAAGGTGTGAGGTCGGTTTCCTTTGGATTCCTGGAGCGACATTACCAAACACAAATGAGACATTTAGCAGAAAGCGTCTTGAGAATGTGGAGAGAAAATTGTCAAGAAACGAGAAGCTGAAAGAGGAATACGATTGCATCGTCGAAAAGCAGCTCAGTGCAGGAGTAATAGAGGAAGCGCCTAACAATCCCTTGGGAAATAGAGTATTCTACATGCCGCATAAACCAGTTGTAAAGCAAAGTGCACTCACCACGAAGGTTCGCATGATGTTTTGACGCGAGTGCCAGACCTCACCCTTTGGCTAACAGCATTAATGACTGTATGCTTACTGGCCCCCCATTACAACCACTTCTCTGGGACATAATGGTTAGAGCACGAACGTGAGAAGGCATTTCTGCAGATAGGTGTGAAAGGGGAGGACAGAGATTCATTCAGATTCCTGTTCAATGTCAAGGGAGTAGAGAAGCATCTAAGATTTACACGGGTGCCTTTTGGAGTTGAAGCAAGCCCTTTCTTACTGGGAGCCACTCTGCAGCATCACTTTGAACAGCAAGGGCCAGAGTTTGAAGATACGGTTAGAGCACTCAAGGAGAACACTTCTGTTGACAATCTCAAGCAAACAGGAGGAGATCATGGGAAGTTTGAGCAATTCAAAGAAGAAGCCACTGTCATACTCGAGTCTGCTAAGTTCCCAGTACACAAGTGGGAATCCAACGTTAAGTCTCTTGAGAGTGAAAGCATGCCAAACCCAAGCAAGATCCTTGGACATACTTGGCACAAAGATGAGGACACAGAGGAGCTGTCTGCAAAGCCCTTTCCACGAGAACAGCCAGTGACTTAGCGTACTATCCTCAGCTACTTAGGAACTGTGTATGACCCACTTGGGATTATCTCACCCACTATGGCTGAAGGAAAGCATATCTATCGGGAAGCCTGTGACGAGAAGAAGGGCTGGAATGCAAAAGTCTCCACTCATTTGAAGAACCAGTGGCTTAGGTGGACAGAGCAACTTAGAGACGTGAGAGTGCCTAGAAGCGTTACTACATTCGATGGAGAGGTAGAAGCAGTACATTTACATCTTTTCGCAGATGCGAACATTCTAGCATGCTGTGCAGTGGCTGTTGCAGTCGTAGAGCATTGAGGCAGGTGTGGCCAAATGGCTCCTGACATCAAAGTCAAGAATATCAAAGAGAAATACTTCAATAGCCAGACTGGAGCTTGTGAGTGGTCATCTGGCAGCGAACATGGCGAAGAATCTTTGCACTGCTCTCCAGCGATGGCCCATCAAGTCTGTCACCATTTAGATGGACAGCATGGTAGCATTGTATTGGATAGCCAATCCTGGGAGGGGATGGAAAGTGTTTGTAGCTAACAGAGTAAAGAAGATAGCAGAAGCCACAGGTCCGATCAACATCACTTGGAAGTACTGCCCCTCAGATTTGAATCAAGCAGACCTTAGAAGTAGAGGAGCTACCATTGCGAAGATGGAAAGAGGAAATTGGTTTACTGGTCCAGATTGGCTCTTAGACGAGAGGCAGTGGCCACGGCAGCCGAGGCTGAACAGCATCGAAGACACAGACAAAGAGAGTAAGGCCATCCAAGAGGCAGTTCTTCGCACACAGGAGCGCAAGTTGGATGAGTGGGATGCGTTGCTGGAGAGGAGCACGTACTGGCGAACAATGAGTAACAGCATGGTTGCTAAGGTTCATTAGCAACTGCAAAACGAGAAGAAACAAGTTAAAGAAAATGTCAGGTCCGTTAGTAACTGAAGAAATCACCACTGCAAGTAACTACTGGGTGAAGAGAGTTCAGAAAGCAGACGATACATGTCTACAGTCTCCAGGATGGAAGCTAATCAAAGATGAACATACGGGTGTTCTTAAGTGTGAAGGCAGAATTAAAGGATACAGGCCGACTTACCTTCCTGGAGGACCACTTGCTGAGAAGCTTATTGTTCACATACACAATCAGGTCATGCATCTTGGTACCGCGAACACAATGGCGAGTGTGAGACAGGGCTGGTGGATACCGAAGTTGAGAGCTAAAGTCAAGAAGGTGATTAAGAAGTGCAATGTTTGCAAAGTGTTCTCCACCAAACGATATGGAGTTCGGTCGCCACGCGCCTTACCAGAATACAGAATGGAGGGGAGCAGACCATTTGAAGTGACCGAAGTGGAGTTTGCCGGACCCTTGACATATAAGGTCGGCAAGAAAGAAGAAGGAAAGTGCTATGTTATTATTTTCATTTGTGCCAGCTCCAGAGCAGTCCATTTAGAAGTCGCAAGAACCCAAACAGCAGACGAATTCAAAAATAAGCTTAATGCCTTCATCTCGCGTCGAACAAGACCTCGCATCATCATCTCGGATAATGCCAAAGTGTTTAAGGCCACAGCAGATTGGGTCAAGACTGTTAGGAAAAGTGAGAAGCTTCAGAATTATCTAGCACGTGAGAAGATTCGCTGGGGAGGCATCTACGAGAGGTTGATTAAGGAGATCAAGAAGACCCTTCACAACACCTTAGGGAGGTCATATCTTTCCTATGAGGCGTTTGAATCAGTCGTCATGGATGTTGAAAGAAATCTGAACAATCGACCCCTGCCGTATGTTGAAGCAGAGGGAGGAGAGGAGGAAGTGCTTACCCCGAACACGATCCTGTGGGGACGAGATGTGTATCCAGTGGATGACACTGCAGGCTCAGACGCAGAGAAGCTGACAAGGATGACCAAACGATTAGGAGATGCTAAGGCCCATGCGTGGAAACGCTGAAAAAGGGAGTACGTCCACGGCCTAATGGAAAGCCACCGGCCTAATGAGGAGAGAGGAAGTACACCTAAACTTGGAGAGATTGTACTTATCGTTGGAGATGAAAAGAACCACGGGAAATGGAAAAAGGGAAAGGTGGTGCACCTTATTCAAGGAAAAGATGGAGTCATTAGAGGAGTAACGTTGTTACATAAAGGACACACCATTGAGCGACCACTCCAACTAGTTTGCCCCTTGGAAATAAAAGCAGTGGAAACCATTGTGCAACCTCACGAGGGGAGGAAAGAACAAATTGACCTAAGAAGTCAGAGACCAAGACGAACTGTAGCTCAAAAAGCTGCTCAGAGAATTGCAGAACAATTGCAAGCAGAAGACGATTGAGGAACTGAACTGTCTTAAAGTAAAACTGGACTGTCGTTAAGTAAATCGGATTTGTTTCAAGCTGCATTTGATTGTAAAAATTGGGATCTACAATTTTTAGAGGAGTTGTGTACAAGAGTTTTGACCGACCCCACCCCGCTTAGTCTGCGACACATGCGATCACTACCAAATAAGGTAATGAACACGTGCGAGCAGGATAAGACAATTGGATTGTGACAAAAAGTAGCGAGTAGCGAGGGAGTTTTCTAGAGTTTATTGTGAGTCCTTTCAGTGAGTTATTGTGCAGTGAATAAACCAGAAAACAGAGAAGAAGCTGTGAGTTCTGTGTACCCTTGGGAAAACGGCTCACGGGATTTAGATTAATTTTAGATTTTTTTAATCGAGCCAATTAATTAAAGTTGGTAACCCTCAGTTCGCGAATCAGTATCATGTATCATTTGAGCTGAGTAGGTTACGTAGATTTTCGAACTTCTCAGAGAGAAGCGTTGCGAGTTCGAGCATGGAACCTGGCATGGTAAATGTTTAATACTGACAGTCTAAGGCTGTAAAGTAAAATAATCGAGAAGTGGAGGCACCTGATGTACTTTTCTGCTGTTAAACATGACCTATATTTTGCCGCCATTTTCAACACGTTCCGGGGATGCTTTTAAAATGGTTCAGAAAACCACTATATCAACATATTTGAGATCAGTTCACAACGGAAAATAAATTAGAATGGTTGTTCCACATTTGTGTGAAGATTGAAGTTAATTGAATGTATTTTAAGACTTAAGCAGCACTTCGTCCTCGTACCTTATTTCGGTCATTTTATTACACGAAAAACCGCACTTCGACCGCGCTTTCAAATTTTCGCGAATTTCTAAAAACTAGAAATTCGCTGGAACCTTTAAATATGATTTTTAGAATTAAGTCACCTAAGGGCATCTTTCGGCAAAATATGAGCGATTTGCCAAATGGGTCGTTGACCGGTGTTTCTCGATCCTAACAGTCAGCCATTCTTTAAAATAGTTTTTGAAGGGGAGATACAGTAACACCGTGATGGTGACATTGAGAAATATATTAATTTAGTCAATAAGATTATAATTGCTGAGTGTCAAATCAATTAATTTGCCAACTATGACAATGTACATGAACACTACTTGATTCCCGCGTGAACCGGCTCTTGCCCAATTCGGCACAGTGGACAAATACAGTGACCATAAAAGACTCAAACAGCTTGATAGGAAAAAATTTAGAGCCAAATGCATATAAAAAAGACAGACTCCTATAAAGGTCTAACTTGCCTTTCCGTGACGTGCTTGAAATATCATCAGAGTCCGAGCTTTGAGCCTCCATTGATTCAATGGACGATGTGTCAACATCTCCTAAATAGCCAGTTTCTTTGGAGATATCCTTTCTCATTTCATCATCTTCTTTTTCTCTGGTAAGATCTGTTTAGTTGTGGACAAATGAAAAAAAAAATCAACACGCCTTTCGGTGTTGTTACAAAGAACAGATTACTTCACAGTTATTCTTGTAGGGCATAAGAAAATGTCTTCGTTCCTTCATTACACTAAAAAATCTTTGCATGAGGATAGAATTACTCACACAAGAGCAGGCCCCAAACTGACCATAATGGCAAATATTTGCTAAGGTTTTACAACAAAACCATGCGCTTTGTCAGATAGATGACTCAAATGAATGTGACTACGCGCCAAGGAATCTCCTGACCTCAGTGGAGAGTGAAAAGGGAAAACCCCCTCCAGCATCTAAAAATACCTTGCATACAAAACATTGTAAATGGTTTGAACCCAGGAGTATCAGTAGTTATTGTAGTGTGATCGTTCGGGTGAGGGTAGTTCTGAAAAGAACTGTTGTTGGTGACTGATGTTTCGACAACCTGAGCAGAAGTCATCTTCAGAGTCAAGTGAATAGTGTTTGTCAGTCGGTGATGTTATAAGCCTGGTCCGTTGAACGTGATTGGTCAGTTTAGCCATGATGATATTAGCTCAAAGACCCGTGCAAAATTTGTCATCAGTCATTGGTCGGTTTCGATCCGTCTATTCTTAGTCAAATTGGTCGGTTTTTTGTCCGTCTTTTGTTAGTCAAATTAAGTCGGTCTGTTTGAAGTCCGTTTGTCGGTTTCGTTTCCGTCGTGGATAAGTCGTTTGTAAGGCGCCGGTAGTTGTTGACATCTGTT